CTCGAGAGTTAGCGGTCCAAGTTCCCTTAGATACGAGTTGACTCAGTCGAGAGACGACACCCCTGTGGCCATGGGCAACTGGACGTCGCGCTTGCCGGCTTTCGAGGTAGGCGCGGTATGACGCGCGGGGCTGTGCGCGGCACTTGATGGCTTCTACCACCAGTGATTTCCCTACACACCCCCTAGGGAGGGAGGGGAAGGGGGGTGTACACACCCCCTTATTTTTCTGAAAGCACCCCCTTCATTTGCAACGACTCCTCTATTCTCAACCCCCCCCCCCCCCCCCTTTATAAAAATTTAGGCAGCCCCCTAATTTCAATTTCTGGGGAAACCCCTGTGGGTACCACCGATCCCTACCATGGACCGTTTCCGCGTTTACAAACGCAAGCGCCCTTTTGCTTCCCAAGCAACTTCCGGTCACTCCGTTTCGGCAGGCCTTTCGATTAGATTTAGCCATGTCCTTCTGCTGTGCTACTTTAAAGTTGGCATTTCAATATCAGTGGATTTAATCTTAATTCAAACATGCTTTAAAAAGGTAATAAATAGGTGATAGACGTTACAGAGGTGGTGCCGTCTTCGCCACCTATTTAGCAGGCTTGGCGGACATTATTAGATGAGGGTATAACTGTAACTGTAAGTTGGTTAATTAACTAAAATTAATGAACTTTTTAATTGTTTGTTTTATGGGCCATCTTTTTAATTGTTTGTTTTATGGGCCATTATTGGCATTGCAGTATTGACGGAAATTACTACTAGAGGCAGACCAATTCAAAGAATTTTCGAGCAGGTGACATATTCTTTTTTTTTTTAATAATCCTCAATTAGTTTTTAATATTTTTTGTCCAATTTTAATATTGCACACAAAAAGAGAATCACGTCGCCACTATCTCGGCATCGTGCGGGAAAAACGAAAAAAAGACGCGAAAACTCATTGCAGAATATCCAAGAAGCTATTACCATTTCGCAAATGCTCTAAATTGTTCTGGCCTCTACTAGTAACTCGTAATTCCCGCCCATTAAACCAATACCCATTTTTGTTTTTAAAGCTGTTCGCGAATTAAAACCAAACAGACTGTATAGTGCTTGTTAAATTTCGTGGTAAACTTACATACCGCTGTGATATGACACCTTCGCTTGTCGTGTGATATAAATTTGGGGGAGAAAAGTGAGATGATGGAGGACTGCGGAGCATTCAGTTGCGCCCTCTTTCTCTCGTCACTATCAACTTTTCCCTCTTTTTCACACGCACACATACACATCAACGATTTACGAAAATCGCTATTCATTCACGTTACTTATAGGCAGAGATATACTTGCACTCATTACCATTATTATTATTATTAACTTAACGCGAGGCGCCCTCATCGTTTGACTGAATCCTTGTTGTCGGGGTAATGGTTATCCCTGCCGTGTGTTGAGCGCCGCCTGTGCCATCTAAAGTTGTTTGCGTCCTGTATTTAAATGTGCGTTCGAACGAGTATTATCTTTTTAGCGCCAATTCATGTTTCTGACGTAACGCGACGCGATGGAACTGGTTGCGTGACGGTTCTTGCGCATGCTCGGTGGCCACATGAGCTTTGGGCAAACGCGCTTTCTTATGACAATTTTTTTTTTAGTTTCCTCATTGTTAAAAAAAGAAGGAAAAAGTGAAAACCGTTTACAACTCCCTGTAACACCGAATTAGAGCGCAGCTCTTGAAGAGGAGGAGGGAAGGGTACTGGGGGGGGGTCACGTGACGATGTCGATGATGTCATCAGTGACGTCACTGATGACGTCATCAGTGGCGATGACGATGTGGACTCCGATGACGTCATCAGCGATGATGACGATGCGGATGTCGGTGACGTCATCAGTGACGTCACTGATGACGTCATCAGCGATGATGACGATGACAATGCGGATGTCGGCGACGTCATCAGTGACGTCACTGATGACGTCATCCGTGATGATGACGATGTAGATGCCGATGACGTCATCAGTGATGTCACTGGTGATGTCATCAGTGATGATGACGATGTGGATGCCGGTGAGGTCATCAGGACGTCACTGATGACGTCATCAGTGATGATGACGATGCCGGTGACGTCATCAGTGACGATGACATCACCGGGGAGGTCACGTGACCTCGGGGGGGGGGGGTCACGTGTCCCTGGGGGGTGGTCATGTGACCTCGGGGGGTGTCACATGACCTCGGGGGGGTCACGTGATTTCGGGGGGTAACGTGACTTTGGGTGTCACGTGACCTTTGGGGGGTCGCGTGACCTTGGGGTGACCTTGGTTACGCCGACGCCGACGGCGACGCCGTCCAAGCCGGGAACGGGCCCCTAAGAGCTGCGCTCTAAAAAGAAAAAAGAAAGCCAAGACAGCGGAAATTGTGGGCAGGGCACAGTTCAACGATGACTGCTCCCCCGGCATACTTGCGTGGCCCTATTGGCGACGTGCGCGATCAAAAGCGTCGCTGTAGTCGGCCCACCACAATTGGTTGAATCCTAACTATGACGTCAGCAAAGGATGTCTCATCAACGGAAATAAGAGGAATGTAAGAACTTCAATTTTGACGGTGTTCGCAGTGTTGCTTTGAGAGCGCTGTGATTTCAGGCTTCCACCATGCCCATTACAAACACCATCGAACTTGTTGTTCACAAGGTAATGACGCCACGAAAGGTAACCGAACGAGGGCGCCACCGAGACATCTCGCCGCTAATACTCTCAAAAGCTATGAAGTTTAGAAACAAAGATGGTCAAATCGATCGCTTCAGCACATATAACCTGGGGTTTCCCCAGGAATTGAAATTAGGGGGTGTCTAAATTTTTAGGGAAGGGGGGGGGGGGGGCATTGGAGAATAGAAGAGTCGTTGCGAATTAAGGGGGTGCTTTCAGAAAAACAAGGGGGGGGGGGGGGGGGGGAGGGTGTAGGGAAATCACTGCATATGACGTTTTCGTTTCGCACAAATCGACGATGCCCGTTCGCGCTCTGCGGCTTTCCCACAGCGCTCTGACGTTGGCGGAGAAGCGCTCCTCCCGGGACGGTCACGCTCCAGCGCCTGCGTAGGATGTTCAAAGCCTGTCCACGAAGACGCCTTTCCGCTACCGCGCCCTGCACGGTAGACGAGATACATTGAAACTTCACTTGAAGTTACTTGCGCTCCCTTCCGTAAAAAGTTGGTTCGGAAAATACAGGCGCGAGCAGGCGTAGCCAAGGGGAGGGGGGAGGGGAAGGAGGGAGGGAGAAAGGAAGGAGGTCGGGTCATCGCTTCCCCCTTCCCCTCCAATCCAATAATATTGTAATATACAGGCTTTTTCACGAAAGGTGGGCAAATTCAATATTCTGAAAACTATGCATGGCACCAAGAAAAGGTTTGTGTCGTTTTAGTCCTAGGCCAGGGGCCTATTTAGGAAAATGATTAAAGTTTGGCATAATTAAGTTGTTAATTATTTTCGCGTAATTAATTTTTAAAATATTGAGTTTAAGGGCAAGGTTTTATTTAAAAACTTGTTGAGCATCATCGAAAAACACTAAATAAAAAAATTGGAGTGCGATAGAAGGCATGCGCTGCATTTTACGGCTTTCTGAAAAACATCACAACTTCGTTGGGTTTTTAAGTTTCAGTTTTCAATCGGAGCGCTTCTGGGCATCGACGGTACCGCGCCCCGTGCGGAAATAGTGAACCAACTTCTGCTTTGCTGTCCTCGCGCAACGCAGCAGAGGCAGGAAAATATTCCTGGCTACGATACTGGGCGTGAGAACATAGCAAGGCGATCTGGTGTGTAGACCAGTCAATGAAAGGGCTTTTGACTGGTGCCATTTTCAGCGTTTGTTCATATGGCGCATGCCTTGCTCGCTGTCCGCTGTGGGAACATGTTCGATCAGAGCTGCTGTGATCTAGTACGTGTAGGCTGTTATTTTTGTAAAGAGTTGAATCGTCCATGTTGAGTGACATCTGTCTGTGGCATTTCGAAAGAAACAAAGAGTGTGCGTGCATAAATCTGATTGGCGCTTCAAGTGCGCGAGCAGCCATAACTGACTGTGTTGCCATAGAAAGTTGTCTTCAAGTATATGTGTGTTTCCATGAGCACTCGCGCAAAACAGCGTGGCACTACAGTGCTGCACAGAAGTTTTGAGGTGGAGTGGTGCTGCAAGAAAAAAAAAGAACATAAAAGAAAGAAATCAAGTGGAATGGCAAAACAATGACAACAAAGTCAGAAATAAAAATGTGCCTCATTAAGATGCTCTGCATCCAGCACAAGCTTGCTACTTTTGATGGTTCGGTGCTGTGATATTCAAAAGTTACGTTATCATGATTTGAAAGTACCTTAAAAGAACATTGCACTAAAATATAATAATTGTTTTGTAACTGCCTGCATGGGACACGTATGTCATAAAACGCACACAGAAAAAAAAAGTTCACATATTATTTACGTTGCAAAAGACAATTTAGACAAATGGGCCTTGGAAGGAGCAAGGGGTCAGTGGCAAGTCAATTCTCCTTTCGACTTGTCTAAGCAAAACTTACATTAAACTGTAATTATTTTTTTTTACATGAGTTTGTTGTTTGTCATTTGCATGTCTCCCATTTTACGGCCGATTGCTATAGGCTCTTCCTCATAACACTTTCCAACATGGTTGTTCGGGAAGTGTTTCCTGACTGTCCTTTGAATCTGGTGTTGGCAAGCTGAACTAAAAATGTTTATTTGTCCACTCTTCAATAATTCAGTCCTTGCAATCCTCTTTGCAAGTAGCTTCCTGATAGCTCCTAGACCATTATGTTCTGCTTTCCAGTGGTATATTTCAATTACTTATAATGCAACAGGTTGAGTGGGCCTTTGGGAAAGCTTCCCAATTGTTGCACAATAAACAGTAATGTGCTAGTTTTGAGGAACATAGGTTACCTCTTCATCTCTATACTGTATTATCTAGAGTCCTTTGTAGCTCTAGAAGAGTTTTAATATATATCCTGCTAAATCAGGCAAAGAGCTGACGAACAACTGCTCTCTTGCAGCTGAAGCAGCGCTTGGAACGGCTAGAGAAGCGGCTTGTGGCCAGGGAGAGCAGCCCAGAACGCTCGAGCGCATTCACTCAGACTGAGCAGTCACGAACTGAGCCAAGCATCTACCGGCTACAACAACCCGAGCCTCAGCCCGGACTGCAACCAGAGCCACACACTGAGCTATGGCATGAGCCCCAGCCTGAGCCACAATCTGAACCCCAGCCAGAGCCACAACACGCTCGACATCCCAAGTCTCAGCCCCAGCTGTGGCCCGAGCTATGGCCCGAGCCGCAACCTCGGTTACGGCTCGAACTACAGTCCGAGCCAGAGACAGATCTAGAGTCGGAGCCAGAGACAGAGCCAGAGGCCGATGCAGAGACTGAGCTAGAGGCCGAGGTAGAGCTTGAACCACGGCCCGATGTCCAACCAGAGCCACATCCCGAGACACATCTTGAGCCACATTTCGAGACACATCCCAAGCCACACCTTGAGCCACATCCCAAGAGGCATCATAAGCCGCACCTCGAGCCACACTCCGTGTCACATCCTGTGCCTCATCCAGACCTGCAGCTTGAGCATCTGCCAGAGACTGTACAGGACCTCGTACCGGAACCAGATGCAGAGCCCGAGCCGGAGCCGGAGCCAGTGCCGGCGCCAGTGCCTGCGCCTGCCACCTTCCCTTCGCGCCACAAGAGCAGCAGTATACAGCGTCAACGTAAGAGGTGAGGCTACCTCAGCTGTTTATGTGAACTGAAGCTGCACTCTGTAGGTCCTTGGGTCTCTTGACACTGAGGACTAGATGTCTGGCTGAAAGCCACTGAGCTTGAATTTCAGACCAAACTGTCAATGCATGTGCATCCGGTTTTTCAGGAAATCAATCATATGTCTGGAGGCTGACGCTATGAAGCAGCTAGAATCGTTTACAATCCTACAACGAGGAACTATGAAAAAGATTGGTGTACCTGAAGGCCTTGATCGCAGTCAGATTGGTATGAAAACATTCAGTCTTCAATATTGGCCCCCGTCAGTCTTTGTGAACACTGCTTGGTTGCCTGACTACCTATTCTGAGTTGTTTCAGCTCTGATTTCTGATTAGTCTTGGTGAACCACAACAAGATCTGGGTGTGGGCAACATTGTTCGGTCCAAATAAAGAGCGACATCTGAAATGTGGATATTTACATTAAGGTTGCTTGAGTTTAAAACTTTTGCTAGCTTAGCAGAGACTGTACCAAAACCTGCTGTATTTCTTGAGAGGCCACCAAGTTTCTTCAAGTACCTGAAGTGCTTTTTCTTTGGAACACTGAATCTTACTTATGACAGTGGCAGTTGTAGCAAACTAGTAGTGCATGGAAAGAAGAAAACTCGGATTAATTCAAGCTCCAGGACGCCACGAATTTTCTTTCAATTGTCAGAAGTTTGAGTTATCAGAAATTCATCTAAATATGATGCAGGATAAATTTATGATTCGCTATATGAATGGCTATACATAAAAAGCAGATATTTGATGATTTCCTCTACAAAGGCCTAGTAATCATAAGCAGTTATGCTGCATATGACAGATTGCTGAAATGTATGTGTCAAGTTTATTCATTCCTTAAAAGTGTTATCTATCGTTAACTGTTTAGACGACTCATGACATCTCAAAATGAAATTAAGTTTGTTCATCCAACAAAAAGGTGGGGGCTATTAGCCCCGTTGAGCTTTCTTTTTGTTGAAAATCGGTATACTGCGGAGAGGTAACACTCGCACAAGTGAGCTCCACAGGTTTTGCATCTCTGCAGTGCACCGGTGCTCTGGAGAAAGCGCGCTCAATGGGGCCACGAGAACAAGAAGTATTAATTACACGAAAAGGCCATTTGAACTGAGCGGCTTATAAAAACATTGAAAACATAGCGGGACAACCAAAATTTTTAAATTTGTTTGACATAACAGGAAATATGAAATATCCGAGTTTGAATTATCACAAGCCTACTGTACTGGGGCAACTCCATTCAAATCCGAAAACTTTGGGATAATGAGTGATCTCGCATTAAGAAGCACTAATAAAAGGCACTACATCATTTGCTTCACGAAAAATGTGATATATATTGTTATATCTTACTTTAAACGTGAGCAGAAACTGAAACTTCGGCTCCGTCTGGTAACATTGGCCTCTCGCCGACAAAAGCATGGCTATCATGAGATATGAGATCTTATGTGATCCTTTACGCAATGACGGGCTGGATTGGGCCGGGTCGGCAGGCCGCCGTTGCCGTTGGGGCGGGCGAGTGCCAAGCGCAAGTGTCGTCTGCACTGCACTCGTCACCACGTTTTGGTGTCTAGGAAATTCGACAATGTCTGCACAACTGCGGCATCAGTCTGCACACATAGTGTGAACGAAACTCTGAGAGACAATAATCACATATGGTGGGACGATGACGGCGGTTGTGACGCGGGAGACGGCGGTAACGGCCAGACGGCTCCGAAGAAGTGCGTTGCGCAGGCGCACACCAATCACATGGACACCGCTGAGCGCCGAGGTGAAACGTTGCTGACGTCATCCGTTACGCTTGCCCAGAGATGTAAAAACAAACAGAAAGGGGCAATGGTGATGACGTTTAGCTCAGTAATGGCTAAGCCAACGCCGTAGCCTTCACTGCGCTGTTGTTTGTGCCTCAATTTGCCCGCTAGAGTGAGCTGATTTCGGTAACTTGGCCTATTGCGAAGTTTGCCGGACCATTTGAGAAATATTTAGACAGAACTAGGTTGCGGGTAATATTTGACATGTGGTTTTCCTAGGTGATATCAAAGTGGACTGAATTGTTTTTTCAAAAACAAAAATGAAGCGTAGTGGGAAGACCAAAACATGTGCGTTATGCGCCCATTCTTATTTCAGTTACACTAACCAAGGTGCCCGTCTCTGTAGTGGTACTTCAAATAACTTGGGATTTGGGAAATTTCTGACCCTCAACTGCTTAATTGTTGTTTTCAAAATTTTATTTGTTACCTTCAAAAGTAAGTTTATAGCCACAAACAAATGGGAGCAAAATTGTAAAAAAAATTCAATGCTGCCATCTGTTGGCAGAGCCTCAAACTAAGCCATGAGCAAGCCGGTTCGTCCGAAATGGTTGAGTGAGTGAAACTGGAAAATCAGACGAGCTATACTCATCATGGACAGTTTGAAGATATCTCCATGTTGATGAGCTAGGCTCGTCCAAACGATCAAGGGGTTAAGGAGACACATTGCGAAGTGCAACGTGGGTCTCCTTAACCCTTTAACGTGGGTCTCCTTAACTCCCTTTTCATTCCTACAAGCCCTTCTGCTCTTGTCATTGTGTGTTTTTTGTGTTGTTTATTACTTCATTTTGCTTTACGCAATGCTTCAGCTTACCCCATGTTACAATGAGATATGCCACTAAACAGTTACGTCTTCCTTTGGAACAGGCGGAGATCACCGGAGCGAGTCAGCTCGGAAGAACGCGTTAGTTCTGCAGAGCGAGTGAGTTCTGTGGAACGAGTGAGTTCAGTGGAACGGCTGTGCACGGCAGACATTGTAAAGCTGACAGAGCGTGCGAGACCCGTCGACAGATACACCCCCGAACCAGTGAGGCCCACCAAGAAGGCGAGGTCGACGGAACGAGCAAGGTCGAAAGAACGAGGCAAATCTACAGAACGCGGAAAGTCAACAGAACGTGGAAAGTCGACGGAGCGGAGCAAGTCCACGGAACGTGGGAAGTCTAAAGAACGCAGCAAGTCTACAGAACGAGGCAAATCTAAAGAACGGGGCAAATCGAAGGAACGAAGCAAGTCGAAGGAGAGAGGCAAGTCGAAGGAACGCAGCCAGTCGACGGAACGTAGTAAGTCGACGGAACGGGTGAGGTCGAGGAACCGGGTGAGGTCGAGAGACCGTGTCGGGTCGAAAGACAGGTTGAGGTCGAGAGACCGGTTGAGGCCGACGGAACGAGTGACGTCAGTGGAATGCCTGAGTTCCACGGACGAGGAGGAGGAGGAGGAAAGCCTCGCCAAAAGGGTGGGCACTCCCGTGCCGTCCGAAGGAGGAATGACGCCGCGGTCCTGCCCATCTCCCGCATCCGACCGGGCCTTGGACCCAGCCCTCCTGTGGACCCCGGAGCCATACCCGAGCTGCCCGTCTTCCCGTCGGACCTCGCCGGACCGGCCGTGCTCCAGGATCGAGGGTGAGGGTCCGCGCTGTTTCGCCTGACATAGCATCTGACACTTTCTCTGTGGCAAGGGTTTCCCCCCTGCGTATCCTCCTGGGTTGTCCGAGCACCAAAATATCTAAGACCAAGGGTCAGCAACCTTTTCTTGCAGAGGGTGCTCTGCCACAAAGGTGAGACGGAGTGGGCCATACAGAAAAATGTAAATGGGGGGGGGGGGGGGGGGGGGGGGGGGGAGGGGGGTTGATTAGCACGTACAAATAAAAATATAAAAGCTGGAGTAAGTCTTCGGGTGTTTCGACATATAGAGGTGCTCATCTGTCGTCCGCGAGACCCAAGTCTCCACGGCCCTCATCATAAAAAAGTATGTTTGCTGTTATACGTGCTATCATGAACACTTTGGTCAAAGGCCGCTATCAGATTTCATTGATTTGAAAACTTCAATTAAGAGAGGCTAGCATAAAATGTAACGAGTTTGTTCACTGCAAATACATTCTTAAGCTTATTGTTTGTTTTGGGATTAGCTGATCAACAAACTCATCGGGCAAATCTCTCGAACTTGGCTGAGGTCAGTTTCTAATAAATATTGGAAAATGTGTTTGACGTTGAGTATTCCTGAAAATCAACAAACCAGACTTCAAACTCCCTGTTCACATGGCATACTTTCTCACAAATACTTTCTTTGTGGGACTGTGCTCGTCTCTCATATAGAAGTTGCCCAAAAAGGAAAATTATAGATCCCTCGTTGATATAGGTTCCTGGTGCTGAAAAAGTTTAGGCTTCAGCTCGAAAACTTTCATGTCTCGGAGCATCCCTGCCACAAAGTCTCTTTTTTAATATTTTATGTTTAGGTTATTAAGGTGATGTAAAATACCAGTCAGTAATGCCAAGTCGCACACCCAATCAGAATCGGAAAGATCCTTGCAAAAACTTGCTTCCACATTAAAAAAACAAAAAAAGAAAACATTATTTTGTGAAGTTTAAAAAAAACTGCAAAACTCTTGCTTTTCTTACCGATCAAACTTCTGTGCGGTAACAGACGTCCCCGTAGTACGGCCTTGGGAGTGACAAAAAGCATCCAAATCAACGACGGCACAAGCCGCGATTCCAAGCGACATGTATGCCGGATACGACAGTCTTAATTATTGATTCCGGATGCATCACTTTTGTGCACAACATTTGCTGATGGACAGTACAAGGAAGGCAAATAAAAGAACTAACTGCCTCCAAACACAAACACAATTTTTAAAGTAAACAATACGAGGGAAGGGGAAAACCCTTTTCACCACTACTGCAGTCATCCCTCGCCTCCCGACGCCTCTGAGCATGTGCCTATGTATTTGGGGAGGGGTTCCTTGGCTGCCGTTCAAGGCAGACGTGGGTTCCCCAATGTCGAGAAGTTTGAGAACCCCGTCTGTGCCAAGTCACATTATTAAGTTCTGAAAGAAACAATGTGATTCCTAACTTTCGTTGAAAGAAGAAAAGAAATGCAGTCCAGATTTCTTGGGAAAGAAGTTCCTGGATTTCCCGTTGCTTTGTGTTTAAGTAACTGCCGAATATTTGCTCAGAGTTAGGGGTTAACTAATTTTAGATTTCTTTTCCCCAAAGAAATGCTCGGAGGAGTGCCAGCAACAGTCCCCCTGAAGGGCCAGTGTTTGTTCTTGTGCAGTGCCTACCTGGCGTGTGATCCCCATCCAGAGCGGCTACTCCATGGAAGGAACAGAGGTGAGTGACACAATAACGGGCAGCAATGTTTGCTAGCAGAAATGCCACTGCTGCACGGAGCTTGAACTTTTATAATTGTAGAAAGATGTCGGCTCGCTCTTCGTTGCTGCGCAGTCTCGCGAGAAGTGTATAGACCATTCTCAAGAGCACGTCTTGTCAACGTGTCTGCGGTTCAATTAGTACATATGTAAAGATGTTGCTCTGTGGGCCAGGTAGCGCAAGCTACTGTTCACCACATGAAGGGTGCAGTCGTGGGGTTAAGGGGGACACTACCCAGAAAAAAACAAAATTTCTGCAAAAAAGTTGATTTTGAATAATGACATCTTTACATCCACCAACATCTAGAAAGCATTCCCAGAAAGTTTAATTAGTTTACACTGGATAGTTAATTTTTTATAAATTATTTTCTGTCCACCAAAGCTGAAGAAAAGGTAGGGTTTGGAGCACTTTGAATGCATTTTTCTCCGTTCCACTTTTTAGTATAAATTCCATTTTAGTCAACCTATCGTTTCATAATGGCGATACAGGGAAGGCTCATTCTTCCCTTTTCCTGACTGAAATTTAATAAGGAATGCGCCTATGGAATCTTTTTGTCGCTTTACAGATGTCTTTTATAAAAAAATGTCATTTTGTCGAACACACAGAAGACTAAAAAGTTGACCAATTTCGCTGGAGAGAAAATTTATAGAAATAAATTACTTTTTACAAAATACTTTCCATAGCCACACCCCCTAGGCATTCTGCTACATATCTAGCGAATAAAAATCTTGAATATTGTGATAGTTTTCCAACGATAGATTAACTAAACAATGTAGGCGTGTTGCTGATAGAAGCTGCTCTAACTTCCTTCCCATTGAACCGACAGACCTGAAATTTTTGTTATGCACCCTCTAGCATGACCACCAGCCTACCCTGTAAATTTCATTAATTTTAAACCAAGGGTTTAGAAGTTGACCCTCCTAGGGGGTGTGCTGTCCACTAACCGCTTCGACTGCAATGTCCAAGTTGGCTTTGCAGCACCGACGTTGAGAGTCTACGACAGCATAGAGCATGTAGTAGAGATTATAGATTCTAGCAGACATACTTGTGTGCAATCTGGAATCTAAGAAGTTGAGTGCATCCTGTTCTAATAACTCGGCACCCCACAATCGCAGCTGCCGATAACGGCACTGTTCTATCATCTTTATCGCATCCTAAATGTAAACTATCTAGAGTGGAATATAATGGATTGTCACCCTCCCACCCTGTCTCTCATATCTGCCACTCAGAACCTGGATGACGAGATTTTCCTCAAACGGCACCTCAAGTCGGAGATTGACGAGCGACGTCGGAAAAGGTGGGCGCACAGTCTTGCCGTACTGTCTGGCATGTTGTCTGCTTTAGGGCTCACCCTTTGCCCTTCTTCTGTCCCGCTTAGGTGCTGCTCTTGCATCCGTAAGTACTGGGATCAAGGTGTAGCAGGCCTTGATTGGATGCCCCGCCGCACACACACCCGCGGTGTCACTAGTGGCTCGGGCTCGGCACGTTTGGCACCCACCTCTCGAAAGTTCAGGCCCGTTCACACACATGCGCTTGCTGAGAACCGAGTTCCCCGCAGTCTCTTACGATTAGAGAGAGCACCCTGGCACGCTGGCGCCGTCTATAAGGTGCCCCTGGCACTGCATCCAACTAGAATGAAGGTGTTGCATTATTTGTGAGATCAAGTGTATGTACCATCTGTGACAAACAGTTCTTTATAACATTGTCAAAAGTTTTTCGAGCCAAGTAAAAAAGAATGACGCACAAAATAAAAAGGCTCGAGGTACACCTAAGCACTTCTTATGAGTTGAGAATGCGAAAGCATGCACGCCGCTCTTCCGCTCCCTTTTGTCGTCTGCTTCAAACTTGCGTCGACGGTCGAGCGCGCCTGCCGACCTTGGACATGGAGCCGCTGCCTCACGGACATGCAGCGCCGTGGGGTGGCGGTCATTCAAAATGACGCGCAGCGGCCAGTGGGTGCCTCGTCGATGCATGCCAGCCAATGGGACCGAAGCCGAAATCCATCAGCTCTACTCCGCTCCTTTGGGACCGAGGAAACTAGGTGCCGTTGTCTAGGCTTTTCGCGTGGTTTCATAGCTGGGAGCTGGCTTCACTTGAAGAAAGGATTTAAGGTGCCGTTTGGCGCGCTTCAAACTGATGACGTCAGCTCGCTCCAAGGGACAGTTAATGCTTTCGCATTAATAGGAAAAATATACAAAAATACCAAGTGTGTGAACAAGCCTCTCGATGGACGTTTTGGGCGTTTTAAGATGCTAGCATCTGGTACTTTTCAATCATTTGTCTTTCTCAGGCAGAAAAAAAAAAGTTAGTTTTTTGTTATTTAGTTGATATTGCAAGCAACTGAATGTCTCATGCTTTACAGTATGAGGACCAGGCTTTTTTTGCAAGCTTTGGTCTGGAAAGGCAGCTATATTTAGGGCAGCGAAAAAAATACTCTTCTTCACATCTGTAGGCAAGAGCAAGTATGTGGCCGGATCATTGTTCACCAAACAGTCATTCCCACCTTCATTGGAAGTTAGGCAATTGTTTGGATTTTCAGCAGAGCTACTTGAGTGAACATTATGGTGTGTCTGTATTCTGTTAGCTAGGATAGTGAGAATATTAAAATTTTCTAATAGTGGTTTCGAAGAATATGCTATTCAATGTTCACTTAGAGGTGAACTGCGATATTCATACTTTTGGAATTGTTTATCGTGGAGGGTTTATCCCGAATGCGCGTATTACCGAGCACTGGTGCTCTGCAGAGAAGCAACACCTGCAGAGCTTGCTTTTGCGGATGTTGCTTTTCTGCAGTGCACCGCTGCTCGGCAAGAAACACACTCAACAGAGCTAACCTGCCACGATCTACACTTCGAAAAGTACAATACCACAGTCGCATGCTCAGAATAAAAGCACACTTTCGAAGAGGGATGGTGCTGACCTGGTGTGTTTGAAAAGAAGCAAAACCCTTGTGACTGTTGGTAACTATGTTGCAGTAAAATCTTTAAAAGGAACTGGCTATTGTGCAAGAGGATATGTTAGGGAGAGATGCCCTGACAACAGGCACGTAACCAGGGGGGGGGGGGCTCATTAGGCCCGCCCGCCCGCCCGCCCGCCCGCCCCCCCCCCCCCCCCCCCCCCCCTCCCCCCCCCCCCAAAATCTTCCGTTTCCATTTTGCTGGGGCCTCCCCTCCCCCTCATAAATCATTTTGTCATGGGCAGCCCCCCCCCCCCCCCCCCCCCCCCTTCCTCCCTGAAACAAAATCCTGGCTACGTGCCTGCCTGACAACTTGCGTCAAGCATTCGTAATTGACTTTTTTTCTTTTTTTTTTCATATTTTAGATTAAAGAAAAGAGAATTGCGCATAGTAAAAATATTTATAAATCCCCTATGGCTGGCCCCTATAAGTAAAACATTTTTATAGGTTTCATTTTGCATAATTCTTTGGGCACCTCAATGTAGGCATTGCAGTTCCTGAGGCCATAGTAGTTAGATTAAAATTAACTTAGAAATGGGCAAGTGGAAGCTTGGGAACAACCTTCACGAGTTCAGCCAAGTTTCTGTTTAATGGAGAAACTATTCGATCAGAGAATATTAAGCCAAAACCACTATTCATTTCGCACTAAAAATCCACTATTCACATCTTTTTTTATTGCAAAGCGCATCCGCGGTGTCTACTTTCCAGCACAGGTGACCAGATCGAGAACCACAGTAGCTTGTGCCACCTAGTCTAAGCCTAAGGGGGAATGTCAGGTGCATGTTGCCGACCACGTCGCTGCGCAGGTGGGACATGCAGCAGCTGCGGGAGCAGCGGCGCACGGAGCGCCTGAGGCGACGGCTTCTTCCCGATGCGGGGCGGGGGAGGTCCAGTTCCTGCCTCCAGTCCTTCTGCAGCCACCCGAGGAACGGTGAGCAGACGGCCTCGCCGAGTCCGACTTTATGCAAAGTGCTAGCTCACCCGCTTCTTTTGCGGGGGTTGTGTTGACGACAGAACACCGAGCTCTGATTGAAGGATAGTGGGTAGACCTCAAAGCAAACTGAAGCCAAGCAACGCGTCTGTGGCAGGTTTGCACAGTCGCGTTTGCCTTAATTTGTTTTTAGCACCGACGTGAACCTCACCAGGAACAATTAATTTTAGGGGGAATCAGATTCATTTATTATTTTAATAATATTGCCAGCCGCCTGATCGGTGGACGAGGCAGGACTTGGAGATAATTTTCAGTCGAACCGACCTCCGCCGTCATGAGATTACCCAATTGCAACATGTTGTGTCACCTTTTGAAAGGAGTACCGACTTCATCGGCATCTGCGTTCCAATTTGCGAGGGTGTCCTCGTGTCTTTCACGAGAATGGTGTTATGCTTTTAAATTTCGAGAGACAAAATTCACGACTAGAATTTGCCATGTACAGGTGCCAATTTTTCCAGCCCATTTTACATTCTGCCCTGGTATCAATGCCACCCATAGAAAGGAACAAAACGTTCAAGCAAAGTTTGCAAAGCTGGCAGAGGGACAGCACTAGATTTACAGTTGGAAACAGACATGCTGGAATAAATCGGCTAAATTAAAATTTAAGTTTGAGTAGCTGCCTGTAGTGTGCCATCATTGAAATGGCTGGCTCTGATACAGCTGCAGTCTATCAGCCCAATCAGCGAGCTTCATCTTTGACTTCAGGAGGTGCGACAATGTGGTAGTACAGTGAAACCCGTTTAGAACGAACCCACGTACAGCGAAATATTGTCAATATTGAACTTACGGAAAATTTAAATAAAAATGCATGGAAAAAGTACTTTTTTTTTATAACGAACAACATATTGGCTATATCAAACTTTTTCCCCCGGAACGGCTTCCAAAAACAAGCAAACAATCGTCTTCTAGCCTGTCCCCCCCCCCCCCCCCCCCCAAAAAAAAGTAGGAAAGAAAATACCAAAAGCTCAAGCTGCAAACAAATTTGAGCGAGGAGAAGCGATTCAAAAGGGAAGAAAGCTAAAAAACACCGCACGCAGACGCAGAAAAAAAAAAAAAAACTTTTCATCCCAAAGCGGTTGCCCACAAAGAGAAGCAATTCAGAAGGGGTGATAAGCTAAAAGAACAAACACTGCATGCATGCAAAAAAAAAAAAAAATCTTTTTAGCACTTTGTTACAAGGCGGAAGCGAAGAGATGAGAAAGAAAGAGAAGCCTTCGCCTTACAACGAACACATTGTGGAAGTTTGTTGTAGATGGTTTTTGCTATATCAAACTACTTGCTATATCAAACTGATCGTAGCATTTCCTGCTGTTCGTTATAAACGGGTCTGACTGTACTTGTAGAAAGTAGGGGCTGTTCTAAATAGTCACTCAACACGCTCACAAAAATGCATTAAATTTCCTCGGCTGGCAGTGAAAATGTGTCGCATTCACACGACTAAAGTGATCTGACACAAGAGAGCTCACCTGTAAGCCCACTTATTCGGTTGTCCACTATCTGAAGCTCAAGGAAGAAAGGAACGTCCACAAATTCATGCAGAAGCGATTATGTGACTGCTCTAGGGTGGCTCCTCTGTTTGTTTATCCCAGCCCTTTCTTCTTCCTTGCAGTGCATTTTGTGGAGGTGGTGGAGGCTCTACCCGTGGTGGCCTTTGGCCAGCCCATCCCCAGCTTAGAGCCGTCGTAAGTTCTTCTCCACTTCACTTGTCGAAGGCTACAGGTGTTTGCGACACACTGCCGTAATCTGTAGTTATTGAAGCACTTGCAGTGCACCTTTTCTATGGGAATAGGGGAATACATTTAAAGTAAGCATGCCTAATATTGGTGCTGGAACATTTGATGTACTGATACAACAAAGGTTTTATCCTGAAAACAAAAATGCTTTTCTATTTGTGCTCACATTTATGGTGCAGTGGTGCTTTGATGATGCACAGTGCCCGTTTAGTGTGGCTCAACCCCACTCGTGTACAGACCAGATAAAATCGAGGGCATTAGCAGACGGCCAGACTGAGATGCTTGCCCGCCACTTGCAGGGAGTTTGCGGTGCCGTGGTTTGATCTGGCAGAACGGCAGCAGCGGAGGGCGAAGTGCCGGCGGCGCTCCTCCCACAGTTCCAGCAACAAGTAGTAGCCGTGCAGAGCCAGACAACAGACATCCCGGCACACGAGGACCGCCGTACGACATGCCCGTTCAGCGGCATGCGGGGACATGTGCGGAGCAGCGCGCGACTTCCGCATGGCAGGGTGCAGCCTGGGACATCTGCCAACGACTGCAGTTCGCGCACGCGTCATCGCCGGAGCGTCAACATCTCCGAGCACACGCCAGAGCAGACGGACTAGAAGCGCTTGCCAGCATGCGGAAAAACGATCTTGGCGGTTGCACTCGCGTGACTTTGAAGGGTGCTCCGTTTGAAAGAGCACTCGTACAACAATCAAATCACATTTCGAAGCCTTGCACCCGTGCCCCCTTTCAAAGAGCTGCGCCGAACTTGCAAAAGACAGTGCTAATCTCACAGCGGAGAGTTTTACCAAGCCACATACGAGCCTTCAGGGAGGTCGTAGCCATTTGGGTTTTTAACTGGCGAGCAAGAAATTATATTCCTTATTTGGAACAATAAGCTCGATCAAGCGGGGGATCAAACCAGCTAAGGTCCGCCCACTCCATGATCCGCAAAGGATTCAATGTCGTCTGCTTTGACTTGTGCCCAGGCGCTCCCTAGGCTGCAGTGGCCACAGTGTTGTTTGCCCTCTTCAATCAAGGCCCGCAGAGAAGCGTAGAAAATGCGAGGTGCAATACAGTGCCTCAACCAAGCACGAACTGAGAAATGTTTCCAGTAGGCTGTGAGTCTTCTAACAGGGTTGTTTTTCCCAAACTGAACAAAAAAAAGAAAAAACCCTTTTTTAATTGTACAGGAGCCAGGAAGGGAATCTGCACGCAAACACAGATACCCTGAGCTCGTTCGACGCGCAATGAACTGCTTTGTACAACATTGCCAGCCAAGACAAGTGGAGACCTGGACAGTTTTACGGTGCTTCGGTGTTTGGAAGATCGAAGGAAAGGAATTTCAAGAGCTTTGAATGCCTTTCCTCTCCTCATGAAAGCTTTTTTTTGCCCGCTACGCCTCATCAGTTTTGTGACTTGTCTATATTGAGCGCAAGGCAGGGCTCACTTCGGTTGACAGCCATTTTTTTTGTAAATACTACTAGCAAATTGAGTTTCTTCCTGTTTTAGGTGGAGAGGCCTGTCATTTACCTTTATTTTAAAAAGAATATTGCCAGTTGTTGCTAATAGGTTTAGTGCTGTTTTTTTTTAATCTTAAGTTGTTAAAGACAAATTAAATTCAGAGTTGTTACTAAGCCCTGCTATCCGGTTATGAAATTGCTCATAAAAGATCAAGGTACAATGAGAGGGTTATTTATAACATTTATAGCTCAAAGTTGCCAGAACTGAAACATTGTCATACATTCCTACAAAAGGATAAGTGTTTTGGGATGTGTGCCCTGAAAAGCTACTACAACTACTTTCTTTGCTCTGCAAGGGAGAACTACCGTATTTACTCGCATATTGGCGGCTTAGGAAAACCAATGAACCTAGCGAGCCAGCTATTGCTGCACGTTTGCATCTGCAGTGCAAGTGATCATCATACGTCTAAAGCAGAGTGAAAACAGCACACAAGGTGTTGCCAAATGATCGAAAGCTTAGAGGCCAAACACTGACTCTTGCATCCACTTTCATGCAGAAAATTGCTGTGCAAAGTAGTGCCAACGAAATGACGAAGTTTAGAAAAGGTTTTGACCGAAGACTGTTACCTGCTTCGAGACTATCCGGGCAACTGCCATCTGATCACGTGAGAATCTCTCGTGCTTGGATAGTTTTGCAAAACACGTTTAATGTACCTCGGCATTTAGAAAACACCCTTGTAGACAATATGGCGCTCTGTGTGCTTAGTGGAAAGGTCGCACATGGGCTTCATTCAATTAGAGAATACATGCTCCACCGGTATGCGAGTAGATGCGGTGCTCCTTGCATAACCTAGACACGTTTTGTTGCAATTTTATTTGTCACGTTTTGGTTGGAGTGAACGAAACCAGGTGCAGCGACGAATCCGCGAATCCAGACATGAACGGAGATCTGCAGCAAGGATGAATGCAGCCTGTTGGAGAAAAACCGAAGGCGTATTTCGCGCTAGTGAACCAACCCGGCGCCTGTTTGGAAAAAGGCAACCAGTTGCCCATTTGGCAGACGCTTGAAAAGAGATGCTATGCAACTCATGTACATAGAGGGTTGTTCTCCCAACTGCCTACCTTGGCAGTGCTATAGTCATCCCATTCATTGAAGTCACCTGTAATTATACTTGTTCACAATAAATCTCACCATTTTGGGATGCATGCCCTGTGGAGGCTGCAAGCAATGCATAATGCCTTGCCTGTGTGTGTATATGATACTGCACTGCTCACCAACAGCATACCCAGAGCACTGCTACCTACAACTAGTCGGACCGATTTAACTGCACCTGCTCTCGGCATTAAATTCTTTTCGCTTCATTGTCGAGTCTAGCAATGTTGCCAATGCTGCACATGTGGCTTGCGTGTCATTTTCTTGCACCCACATATGCAGTTTCGACAGTGCTGCGGAAACTATGCTAGCCTTGACAATGTAGCTCAAAAGGTTGGTGCCGCAAAACTGAGAAGACAAGTTTGCTGGGACGTCAAAACGCCAAGCTCTGGTTGAAATGATTAGTGAAGAGACCTAAAGCCTCCACTGCACTTGTCAAATGCACTCAAATGCAAATGGCGGACGCTGGCACTGTAATAAGAGCTAGCCTTATATCTACCCACCAATCACTCCAACCAGAGCTCGACATTCTTAAGACCCCACACACTCTCGAATGCTCCTGTTTCTCGGCGCATGGCATCCGTGCAAGACAATGCCAAGCACCAATTCTGGGCAGCAACTACCGAGGGCCTGTTCACGTCTTGGAAGCTTCTCTGAATTAGCCAGCTCTTTTCCTCTTGAACATTTTCCCGCAGAGGGAGGCAACGCCATGCTAAAAAGTACTCGCAGGGTGCAGCCCCGTAATATTTGTGCTTTAAACCTTGTTTTGAGGTTGTTTTGAACTTGGTCACCAACAGGATGAGGATGCCCAGCCTCTAGCAGCTCAATGGCCTCTGCCAAGCCTCGACTGTGTGCGCAAACTCGAGGCTCGTGATATGCTGAAACGATATTGAAGTTGGGAAGCTTGCACTGGAGGAAAGACAATGAACCTCCTTGCCTCTCTCATCCTGTTAGCGACCATAACTATGCTATACTTGTCTTTGCAACGGTTAAAGACTGCAAACAGGATTACGCACGCACGGCAACTACGTCTGCAAATTGTCGCACCTTCCCGTGGTGCCTAAAACCTCGCAACCCCTGGCTTTCCAGGCCATCCTGTGTTTGTAGGCCACCCAAACAACCACCGCAATCAGTGAGGACAGCTGCAACACACGGGCGACAAAATCTCTTTATTCGCGACTCTCGAGGAATGTGCCCGCCCCGAGACGTCGCGGGAGAGACGAAGGTCCGTAGCTCGACTTCGAGCTCAACGCTACAAATTTAAGGGGGCAAAAAAAACGAAAAAACCAGCAACAAAGCACAGAGAAAATGTTAAATCTTCGGCCACAGCAAGGCAGACGGTATGCACACGGGGGTAATGCTTTCTAGAGGTGCACGCCACAATCCATCTCTGAAGCGCTGCGGTGTCGACGAGGGAAAGCGATTTGTACAGCAGTGGGGCGGCAGACGGCGCCGGCCGCGAGGTGCCACCTACGGCGTGCCGTCTGTCGTCCCCGCCCGGGCGGGGCGTGGCGCCGTGGCCCGGTGGACCAATGCGAGATGGGAGTGTACAAGTGATTTTAGTTAAATGGCGGTCACGGCGGTGGCAGTGGATGCCACCCTCTCGCCGCCCCCCGGGCTGCCGTGGCGGCTCACACCTGTAGTCTGGCTAGAGGCTGCCTCCCGTCTGCTCTTGGTACACCTCTATGACGTCGTCGTTCACCATCTCCAGCTGCAACGGGGGATTCGGTACAAGCCAGGAGGGTGAAGACGTGGGATCAGAACACGGCAAATCGTAGGCGCTGACATTGGTAATCCCGAGAGGAAGAATGAGAAAGAAAGCAACAAAAACACGGAAAAAGAGCAGATGATAGGGTAGGGGTGCTCATTTTGCCACAACGGTTGAGGTTGTTTGCCACAACAGTTGGAAGTTGTTCTGGCACTTGTCAATTTAACTTTTTTTTTTTATATATATAATGCTTGATGCAGGTTTTTTTTTTTTTTTTTTGGAAAGTAAGCTAGAAAATGGCTACGCAGAGACCTTCCAGTTGATGTTTGACCACTTTTTTGCATATCTCAAAGCGTCGCCATCGATATGGGCCCGTCGAGACCATCCACTGAGATCATCAATGACTGCATCTATGCCTCGCCGTTCCGAAACAGCCAAAAAGTACAAGGACTTTTCCTAGGGGTCAACAACCCACGGCCCACGAGGCAGTTTCGTGTGGCCCCTGCCACTTCCTCACGCAGACTCGAGGACCACACGACAGTTTTGACCAGTGCTGTAGGTGTTACCGAAAAAAAAGTAACGAAGTACGTTACTCGTTACTTGCAAATAAAAGGGATGCGATACCGACCTATGTTACCTCAATATAAAGGAATGTGTTACCGTTACCGATAAAACGTAACGCACGTTAGCTTTGCGTTACATTTTTAATTATGAATGAACAAGTTTTACTGTTTTGACGTTGGAGGTATGCATAAGCGCTATATTTCAAGAAACATTATGTTCATGCAGAAACTGAACATAATTTATCTTTTTTATGATTTCACCTAAATACAAAAGAAAAGTGCAAAAAACTAAAATTCACATGGCTTGGTGCCCCCAAAAAAAGAATTGAAGTTTAAATTTTTTTGGTCTTAAGAAGTAACGAGTAACGTAATTGCATTACTTAAAATAAGTAACGTAAGTATGTTGCCTGTTACTGTTTTGAAAAAGTAACAAGTTCATTACTATGTTACCGAAAACAGTAAAGCATTACCCGTACTGCAGTTACTTGTAACGCATTGCCACCAACACTGGTTCTGACCTCGAATTGGGATTGTCAGACACCCCATAATTGGGAAGAGAACATCTTCACCTCCTTTTTGCCTCTTCTTCGACTGCCCCCCCCCCCCCCCCTCCCTTCCCCCCTCCCACTGCATCCTCCCTTCGCGAATTGCCATCCTTGTCGGCTTTGTGGCGACTCCGCCCACCGCTTAAAAAGTTTGCCGACCCCTGCTCTACATTATTACATTACCTCTATCACATGGGCAGTATGATTTAGCAACGCATAGGTCCTCCCTTGTAGAATTGTTTCAGCGGGAAGTCTTATCGCTCCCAACGTTCTTGCACTAAAAATGGTTCAGAGGCCTACAAACTTTGTTAGCAGCAACCCACAAACTGGGCAGAAGATACAAAATTTCTGGTAAGCCCAGCTGCACCTAAATTGCACTCAAACCAGAAAGAAATCCTTCCCTACGGGCAACTCCCAAAGGTGTCCCTTCACTTAGTCATTGTTTAGGCCTACTAGCCGTGTGTTGCCTCTCGTAAGTCAAGACCAAGCTCCAAACCAAACGGGGCAAAGGCTCGTCAACACAGTCCAAGTCATTCATTTGCTTTCGACAGTTACGCCTCGGAAACTATTGCCACTCTTCAGACCTTTTGTGACTAACCAGGATGGAGTTCCAATATAGAAGTATAATGAAACCAAAGCCGAAATAAATTAAATATGTAACAAGGACATCCAGGCTTAAAATGAAGTTGCAACAGGGCAACTCGGAAAGCTTCCAAGCGGCAGCCCGTGCCCCACTATGACTGGTAGTGTCTTTGGCACTATTCCAACAAGGTAAATAGAGCAAACTGCTTATTTAACCCATCATATGGCTAACGTCGTTAATGATTTCAATAGTTTGGTACCCCTGGTTTCTACTTAAACCCTGGGGGCACTGGTTTCTTGCCTGCATAGAGCTTTTTTTTTTTTTTTTCCATTATCTCAGTGTCCACAGCAAAAGTCACAACTATTTGTCGCATAGCCCGTAATGTGAATAGCAAAGAAGGAAAACTAAACACCCACCTGCTTAGGAGTTTCGTCGTCGTTTATCCTCTTGCCATCAAAAAGGAACCTCAGTGACGCGACGGACATTGCCTGTTTGCAAGAACGGACAACACTGTAGAGCAACATTGTAAAAGAAGCATACTTGGGTAGTAATTCAATTACAGTAATTGAATTCTTTGGTAATTAAAATTAATTACTTTTGGCTTAAAGGGATTGTAATTTAAGTACTTTCTAGCATTAGTGATTGCAGAATTTCAAACAATTACAATTACTTTTGCAAGACTTTGTGGTACCGACAGAACCTCTCTGAAAGTCTCGGCACAAGCGCCCTCGCGCTCGGTGACACACTCGCACACATAGACATGCACGCACAACAAATATAGTGTTGCATTGTTTGTTGCTTATGCTGTGGGCTGAGAGACAATCCTCTTTGGAGCCTACCTCAACGGCACCGTGTAGCGCCATCTGTGGTGCGAACAGGAAACAATAATGTGAAGATGCCAAAATATTTAAAGGAAAAACAAAAATAGCTTCAGCTTTAAGCCGATGTTGGGGATTTTAATTTTCTATGAAGGCATTTTTCTTCTTTAGCCAGTTTTTTTTTTTTTTTTTTTTTAAGTCCCTCTTTCAGTAGTCACATATTTGTTTCTTTGTATTATTTTCAAGTTTATTTCCTGTCAGGTTTACTTCGGATATTATTTGCATAAGCATTTTGGAGACTGACCTTGTACGTGTGAATATTATCACCACTGATTCAAGAGCCCCGATTAGGTTTTTGTATACTTCTGAGCCATTATAATCTCAACTCAATGCAAATAATTTACAATGACATATATGTTTGTGTGTGAATGTGGTCGTATTAGCGTGTGTGGATTGTAGTTTTATATTAACACTATTAACATATTAATATATGACTAATTGTCACATTTTTATTTGCCTGGCTAACAAAAGTCTGTCAACCCAATTTTTTCTCTAGCGATCTGGCGTCTTGAAGTATATGAAGTAACTTATTATTATTTATAGAAAATATAAGAATGTAGTACTTCATTGCCCCAAACAGCCAAGTTCTACCATGAATTTAGCAAAATTCATAAAAGGAGAGTATGATATGTCACATTTATGCAGCGATACTTAAGCCTCCTCAAACATTGGGTCAAGGAATGAACGAATCTGTTGGATTCTATACAACTTGTTTAAAGTTATATGGCCCAAATCGGGTTGTTTCTAGAAGTAATTGTAAAGTAATTGCAATACTTTTTAAAATTAATTTGTAATGAATTACTTTTCACCTATTGGTAATTGTAATTAAATTACATTTTGGAAGTAATTTACCCATGTATGGAAAGTAGGGAGACCATCTGAACAAAAAGACTTAAAGGACAGGCTTCCACCTCTATGAGCCACTAATCTGCAAGACTGTTGGTTTTTTCAGGTGATCACTAGCTGCGAAGTCACTTGGAGAAACCACCTGAACCTCAGGGTGCGTCTACCAAAGAACTGCTATCCAAAAACCCACTCCGAACAAAGTCCAACTTCTTGTTTTGCCAGTTCCAGGGCTAAACAAAATGTTCTCGGGAAAATACTGGCAGTGCGAACTAGCAGATGGGCTCAAGGGTGTTCATTTGTATGCCACACTTTTGGTTCTACAATTTTCTTGTAGGCCCACTTCAGACGGGGCTCCCAGCGATTTCGGTGTTGCTGGTGAGTAGTTCCCTAGTTTTCCCTAGTGCAACATAATTGCTAGGATCACGTCCGACTCGAAACGGATGAGCAACTCGGACATCTCCGAGACGTTTGAAGCGGCAGCACCCACTCAGGTGAGCAATATTTTCACGTGACGGCCGTGCCGGCGATGTTGACAACTGAAGACTTGGTTCTGGTTTGGAATTGATAGTTTTTTTGGAAAAAAACCTTTTCAGAAAGATGAGCCAGTATTCTCAACACCATTTAAAGGTATAAAAAAAAAAAGTTTATAGCACGTAACTGCGTGTCTAAATAGTGCAAGAAAAAAAAAACTTAATGATGATGATGGCAAATCGCAGCAATTGGTTGCTGCATGCGAACGCTGACGGCCTGTGTTGCTGGTGTTGTGACGTCAAGTTGCTGGGAGATATTGCACAGTCTGAAGTGGGCCGTAAGGGCTATTCACACACTTGCGCTGAGTTCAACCGAGTGCGAGAGTTCGTATGACAACAGCTGCCTCGGCTCGAACAAAACAAGGTAAAAACCGGTTTTGTTGAAGCCAACGCAGCTGTTGCCATAGCCACCCTTGCAATACTCGGTCAGACTCAACACAAATGTGTGAATCGCCCTTTAGGCCCGCTTTAGACGGGGTAATTTTCCCAGCAATTTCGGGGCTGCTGGCGAGTTGTTCCCTAGCTTTCCCCAGATCCTCGCGCTGCAACACGAATTGCTGGGATTGAGTTCGGCTCAAAACGGGCAAGCAGCTCGGACAATTTGTAGATGTTTGAAGCGGTAGCGCGCCAATCAGGGACACTGTATTTTCACGTGATAGCCCTGTGGTGGAGATGATGACAACTAAAGACTGGGTTCAACGTGGTTCTGGTTTGAAATGGATCGTTTCTGGGAATACATTGCTTCAGAAAAATGAGTTTGTATTCTCAAAGCCATTTAAAGATATAAAAAAACATGTTTATTGCCCGTAACTGTGTGCCTAAATAGTGTAAAAGAATTTAAATGTAATGGTGACGATGGCAAATCGTAGAAATTTGGTTGCTGCGTGTGAAAGCGAGCGGCCCGTGTTGTTGGGGTTGCGGCGTCAAGTTGCTGGGAAAACTTCCCGTCTGAAAGGGGACTTACCAGCACTAATCCTACTGTGCCAGTTTCTTTTTAATGAATCGGATGCGCACCCGATTCATTAAAAAGAAAACTTGCAACGCTGGTAGTGCAACTACAATACAAGTTCATCGCAAAGAAAAAAGAAAAAAGGAAAACAACCTGAGACTGAATCAAAATTTGCGCGCCTTTGACCAAGTCGCGGGCGTGCAAAAAGGTGTACGGAGAACTCACCACACGCTCGCTGTAAGACTTCTTCAGCTTTCCCATCTGGGTGGTCATCTTGACTTTGAAATGAATTTCGTTCCCGTCCTGCACGAGCAGAGGCGATCAGACGCGCGGTGAACAGCATGCCATTGACGCGCTCACACACGCGGGGAGCACGGAAGTCTCTTTGAAAGCCGCCGGTTACGTCACCGACTAAATCTTCCCAGCCGTGAAACTTCGGAAAACAAGAAGACGTTTAGGCTCGTACGACGGGGTAAGTCCGTTTTTATCGGCACGAAGAATCAGTTCCTGAGTAGTTCTCGTCCGGAGGGGGATTACGAAGTTGGCCGACCGCGGGAACGTCGCAATGTGTCGAGTTGCAACAACGGCGATTAGGCCTACGGATGGCGTTTTGTGAGCCGTGCATTCGCCGGGGTTTGTGCGACGGCGCCCGCTCACGACCGAGGCCTTCCGAACTTTAGAGGCCATGCTCAGGAGCCGACTTTGCTCGACCGAAACAGGAGGCAAAGCAGAGTTGAATACGCACCTGGCCGACCACCTTGAGCTTGATGTATTCGCAACTGTCACCCCCATCGGCTTTGGAATCCTGTCGGCGTCGTCCGCGGACGTCGCGAACAGGGGCACAGTTAGTGTCTGGCTTCGAACGAGCATCGACAGCTTGTGGAAGCGTCTAGTGTTCACCTACCTGGTTAGAATCGGACATCTTCGGTGGGGGGGATATGTTCCCTTTTTTTTTTCGACGGATCCGATCCACGCTCGTCTCCCTGGTGCTGGCACCGGAAACCCCCGGAACTTAACGGCTCCGCAATTAGCGCCTTGGTAATCCGGCAGGTGGCGACAATGGGGAATCGCGAAATGTTGTACAAACTTTGCGACACCAATCTTATGCAGTTATATCATTAGATACAAGGCAGTTATTCAGACATATTTAATATATATATACGTATATATTAAAATAAACATTAGTATGTTTCAATTTGTAACGTAGAGGGCGCTAGCAAAAACATCCTATCAGAAAATTTTATTTGTCAAACGTCTATTTGTACGCAGTAATGATTGGAACATGTTATACAGGGGTCGCATCCTGCACTGAAATTAAATAGATTGCTTTAATTATTCTTTCGTTTTATTACACCGGGGCGACGCAAAGGCCCAAAATCTGCATTTTGACGCGGATATCGCGGAGCTCGTCTCTGATTGGCCGATCGGTGTATGAGGTGGCGGTCGTGTGTTTCTGTCGGCGCGCTGATTGGCCACGCAGGCCGCTCGCGATGATGATGCGGACGCATCTCACCAGAGTGGTGTGAGTCGGGGGGTTTTCAGCCGGCTTGTTTCTCTCATTCGTGCAGCGATCGGTGTTGGGATTTGACGCGTGCAGCGTAAAAGCCCGTCGTGCGGCCTCCCAACTTCCTTGGTTTCATTCCCGCGGCTACACCCTCCCAAGGTGAGTGTCCGTGCGGCTCGCGTTTGAAAACGAAGGTTCCGGCCACTTGCGAGCGTAGCGACGAGCAGACGACGGGTAAGCCTATTCACGGCCAAGGCCTGTTTGCCCCACTACGGGTCCTGTGGGTCACTCGCCCGCCTGAGCCGAACGTTGGCCCACATTCCGCTTCATACTATGGACCCGTTGCGAGAGAGCAGGAAGTTTCCTGCGTCGACCGCGGCCCCGCCGAAAACTTCACCCTGCCTACCTTCCATTCATGAGTGGAGCGAAGATAGCGCGCGAGCTCGCACTTTTGGCAGGTGTTTCCGTCGGCGCGATCCGAGGTAGCATCCGCGGCGACGAGCACGCGCCTGTTGTTTTCGCTGGTGCACGCTGTCAGTTTTTGCTGTACCAGTGCACGAGACATCGCGTTGTCTTTATAACGGCCACTAAAGTTTTACCGACCGCAAGTTTGATTTGGGGGAAACCGAGATTTTCAGGTATCGCCCCTTGACCTCTTCCAAAAAGTGCGACAAAGCGAGTTTGTCGTATCGGCGAGATTTCCATTTCGGCAAGTCGAGCTGTTCGGAGCACACCGTGGATAATATGGCTGGGAATTCCTTTCGATCCGGCCTTGGCGGAGTGCAAATGCCCCCCTCGTCGGTCGTGCGTTTTCCGCAGACTTCTCTGTCGAGGAGCATCCAACGAGGAAAAGCCGCTGTGGTGGCAAATTAGCCAAGCGTCAGGGGCGCCCCACATTCTGCTTGGAAGATGGTCGTGAACCGGTCTAGAGCAGCCAATGTCGCGGGTCACTAGCTGACGTCTGTTTACGTCGTTGCAGCGTTCCCCAACTGGCAGTCTACAAATATGCTCCCCCCGCCCCCTGTTTTTTCTTTTTTTTTCTTCTTTTTTTACACTTTGTCGTGCAGTATTTTCCGTGTAGCGCTTTTCTTTTTTTCTTTTTGTAAAATTGCGACAAAAAGTGAGGAAAAAAATAAAAAACTATGCCAGCTGCAAGCCGCGTGCAATGCGACTCCGGACTTTAGTTTACACGGGTAAAAATGTAGTACCGGACATTGGAAAGAATTGTATTGGCAATGTAGGGAAGGGTAGAGGAGAGTGCGGACATCTAGAATATTGGCAGTAGCAAGTCACGCAAATACAGCATAACATACTTATCTTGAATTCCAGTGCATCTTCGAGGTATTTTCAGCGGTTTTTACCACCGCACTGTGTATCTTGTCCTTTGAATTTTTTTTTTTTTTTTTTTTATCGGACGATTTTTTACGGTTACTCCGGCGCATACTCTAGCCAGGAAACTATACAAAAATACCGCGCCAATGCGAGGGAGCGAGAACGTTCAGATGCGAATCCCGCGAACGGTGGATGCCAAGGGGCCGCCGGGAGTGTCAGCCGTGCATCCCTTGATATCAGCACACCCACTTATCTCGACTCTACACTGTATCTCGACTCCCAAGAGCCGTCCAAAAAGCTTGAAAGCTCGCACAAAATACAGCGTCGCGTGTCACCACCGATTCCACAAGGTGCCCGCATGGCATATATACGTATGCCTGTGTCTGGCAGCATGCGTGGAACTTTCCTTCACCTCCTCGGGAAGAACGTATGCAGAGCGCAAGTTCGTCAGTTTCATTTGCAGGAGTTGTGGTGACGTCAAGACGACGCAGAGCTCCGATCGGCTCTTATTGAAGGATAGTGGGTAGGCCTCAAAGCAAGCTTCCTCGAGGTCTACCCACTATCCCTCCATCTGAACCAATCGGAGCTCGTCGTCGTTCTGACGTCAGAAGAAGCAGGCGAACTTGCGCTCCGCATAGGCTGGTAAAAGTCGGTCTGAGGCTTGTTTCTTCCTCGTATGTCGTCCCTGTCACATTGGTCGTGCACAGACCGTCTGCAGACTTGTTCATGCACACGTATGTGTATGAAGGAAACATGCTTGCAACAAACATCGTGTCTTTTGTATGATGTATATGAGCAGGGTATTTTCTGCAATGCGGGAATACAGCCAAAGTTTTCGAGCTTTGACCTCCCGGTGCATTTCTGTTGCAACACCGTCGAACCTTGCGCGTTGACCAACTTATTGTAGGGGTAGTCAGTAACCTTAGCTAACATTTCAAGAAGAACCCATGGAGTGCTCCTGGAGTTACAGTCGAGGGAAGAATAACGAAAATAATCCCCGTAGAAGGGGAACAAGAGGGACAAACACAGCTAGGTGGGTGCGCGACCGAAAAAATCCGCCTGCCCAGGTATCGAACCCGGGACCTCTCTATTTCCAGTCCGTGTTGGCGCGCCCTGTGCTTAATTTTCTTCCGGTGGCACGTGGACGCTACTTGATGATATTCTTTGCATGGGAACTTTGGGAAGGTTCTCACTACACGAGAACGCGCGGAGCGGGGAAAGAACAAAAAAAAACTCGCAGGTGCGCGACATGAAGCGCACCCGTGAGCTGACAAACTTTCAGCATTATAAGAAGCCGGTCTCGGGGTTTTAATTATTTATGTATTATTATTTGATTCCATCTGTTCTGGTGTGCCCCTCTCCTTCGAGCAAGCTTTCATCATGTTCCGTGCGTTTTCTGTCCGATTGTTTTTGGTCGTTCCGTGAAGCAGCATGCACAGTGCACAACTTAGCGGGGTCACCCTTGAACGCACGAAAACTTGGGGCGAGCCATTTTATTTTTCCCACCGGACGATGTTTGTTCCTTTTTTTTTTTCTTTTTTTTGTTTTGTTTTTGTATGTGTGTCTTTTGCCGGAGCGCGCCGAGGCGCTCGTTTTTTTCCTGCTTGACGGCAGCTTTCTCGCCGCGTCGTCCTCCGACTTCCCGAGTCGCCCCGCGTTACGCTGAAAGGCTGCGAGGAAGTGTAGAGACGATACTCGGCGGACTGGAGGAAAAGTGCAAACCCGGTTGTCCTGCCGTCCACACGTTTGCGTCACCCGATGACCGCACTCGCTTCGGGGGTGAATTGATTCCGGGGTAGTAGTACAGGACGCTGACGGTCTTCAGCCAACTTCGACACAACATGCTTTAGGTTTACGCGAGATTCGTCCAGCGAACGCGCCGGATTCCTAATTTGAGTTGCATGATGAGAGAAAGATGGGTGTCTCCCTTGGGGAATCACGGGCACACAACAATAGGAGGAAGAGGCGGCAATTCGAAATTCTTACGTGGAGGCGTACCTGTAGTGTGTCCACAATGTTAACAATAGCCACCGCGGTGGCTCCGAGGCAAAGCGTCGACCTACGGATCCTCGGGTGGCCGGTTAACCGCTAGGACCGCTACTGGGTTAATTTAGTATTGGGGCTAGTTTCACCGAGAGTGTGGTGTAACCACGTCGCTGCTTCTGGCGTCTCCACAGCCACAATGTCTGCCGTCGTTTGAGTTCTGGGACGGCTTGCAAGAAACAGCGTCTCGGCTGAGACGGGGGGGGGAGCGGGAAAGCACTGCCAAAGCCAGCGCACGAGCTGAGCGGGGCTCAAGACGCTCGCGCGCCCCCAACCTTAGCAGTGCTTTCTTTCGCCCAGTCTCAAAGGAGACGCTGTTCTGGCAAGCCGGCACTGGGAAACTCGATGCCCTTTTCTCGCGTGTTGTCGAGGGCTTGGTAGCGTGCTGATTGATAGCTTCGAGAGCGTAACATGGGGCGCCATTACGCGATATTCACACCTACCGCTCGAGGTCAATGAATTGCCGCGTGGCTCGAAGGCATCGTTGCTCGAAGGCCCGAAAGGTCGCTTTCCGGCATTACACGCGTGCGCTATGTGCTGCATCTCCTTTTTGGTTGGTTGTCGGGGGAAAATAACGGTGCTTTTGGCGTTTGAAATGTATGCGTCCTGATAAGGTAACGCATCATGTAATCTAACATGCACCCGCATATGTTTTCCTTCTCCGGGCATATGTTGAAGTTAGTACTGTCTTCGCGAGGAGCCGAACTTTATCTTACTACGGTTCTTGATGTGTAAACAAGTAGTCTCTGTCGTTAAACTTCTCGCGGATGGTGCACGAATGGTTGGGCGTGACAGCGCACACAGAAACAACGTATATCTATCGAAGGCACTCCTACACATACGACGCGTGCCACTGGTAAATGTATACCGCTGTCACTACATCTGTGAAAAAAAAAAAAAAAAAAAAAAAACAGGGCGCAGGCGAGCTGGTGTAAGTTTACCATTTTTAGACCACCCAGTCTCAGGTGGTCTAAAAATGGTAAACTACATCTGTATTCTGTTTCCTTGCCCTCGTGGTACGGTAATGGGCAAACGAAACAACGGCGGACTTTAGGCTCCGATGCTTTTCGTGTTTGGTCGAGCGAATAAGTGCTTTGATATATTCCGAGATTGTGGATTTGTTCGTGTCGTACCCTCGTCTTTTTTTTTTTTTTTTTCTTTTTTTTTTTTGTGCAGTTAATTGAAGCCGTCAATAGCAATAATGCTCAATATATTGGTGACGCAAAAATTGTGTGCAAGTATATATGAAGCATACATGAGCAGTGATCATGTAGGGAGAAAGCGAGTGCGTTCCGATAACCGGCCCTGGGCAGATATCCGCCGTGCTCCAGACATTCATGCCGCGGTTTGGTAATCGAGTGCGGGCAGCTGCCCTCGAACAGCGGCCTGTCGGGAGCAACCGATATTGATAACGAGCAACTATTTTATTCTTACGCATCGCCGAGCGATAGCCTCTTTTCTTTTTTTAGACAGATCCGTATCGCCCAGACATGCATCACGCCACACGCGGCTCGACACTGCCGGGAGGAACGTCTGCCAAGCAGTCGGAGCTCGATTCTCTAAACGAGTCATTTGAAACTGGCGTATACTCGTTCATTCTTTTCGAATTTAGACGTTACGGTATGTTATGCTCTGTCGGTGCCCTGCCTCGCAACATCATTCGTGATGGGCGTCGATGCATTGTCGACAAGATTGTAGATCATCATTTCAATGGTGTCGACGTCCTCCGCCGAAACGTATACATCAAATGGGGCCGTTAAGACAGGCGCGTGGAATAATTCAAT